CGCTCCTAAAATCCGGAAACATTACGTTCTAAGAGGGTGAAACCTTAGAAGTTTAGAGAGTTCCAATTGGTCCGAATTTATTCGTCAATCTGTTTGCGTCCAAGCAGTAACTGGGTGGTGTTACGATGTTCGGATATGGATCACATCGAGTTTTGTATAATTGATAAAATTTGACGAAGTTTGAACGTAACATTTTGACAAACTTATACTATAGTTAACGAGTTACGGATATAGTGAACAGGTAGCTGATTGAAAATGAAAATAACAAAAATATATCGTAGCGAAACGGTATTGTAGCATTTGTTTTGCCTAGTTGGTAGCCACCTGTTTGCACCCTTAATTCATGAAGGACCAATAGCTCATTAAGGATCAAAGAATGTTTAAATTTCGTGGAATTTTAGAAAATTTTGGAGTAAATGGAAGAAATGCTAGTAGGTAGAATATCAAACGGATCCTTGGAATTGTAATTTCGCGAAGAAGCCGGAGTGTTGAATTATTAGCGTGAGTTTGATATTTATTTGACTTGAGATACTTATCTTATCAAGTTTCTAAATTCGTTGTCTTGTCAAGTGTCTAATTGTAAGTTTCTAAGACAAGTCATTTGGTTCGAGTTATTAAAATTGAATGTAGGCCAAACACCATTTTATGAAACTTTTATTTTATCATAATAAATTTAATTTAAAGTACTTAAGTCATAATTAAACTTAGCAAATATTTAATAAACGTAATTAATTTAAAATGTAGTGTGATATTAGTGTGCTTTGGAGGGTTTTAACTCTTCCAGCTCGATTTGTTTTCAATGTCCACTTGTATTTATTTTGAGATAAATTAGATAAATTAATGTACAGAGATAGGACTCAGTATTTATTATTTATTTATTCATTATTATCATTGTATAATTTTTTTAAAGTGTAACAACTTCCAAATTTATAGGAAATTTGAATACTGTCATCCAGCGTGAGATACGAGTTCAAATGGTAAAATTTCCATATTTAAGATATTTCCTTTTAAATTCTGAACATTTTTGACATTTCCAACGACTTTAATTCTCGAAATTTGCAGCATTTCATGCGCCAAACGAGCATGTGTGTACTTTCTGGAACGTACGACAAATTCGCTTTAACATAATCGCCTTAATAAATTGAATCGCTTTGATACGTTCAAACTACCAATCATACGTTCCACATCATTGGTTGAAACACGCGTTATTAAAGCCTTACTTCCTTGAAAATGTAGAGCCACAAAATAACATAGTATGTAGAATTCTACGTGTCAAGCATAGAAATGATAATGGACAACTAAATTGTACTTGACAGGCAGTCAAACCGTGTCTGGCAAATTTCCTCGAGTTCACTTATTTACGTTAGCAAACGAGAAGTAACAATTTCGCAACGATAGGATCGTTCGTGGAAAATGGAGGAAGTGCATCGAGCTGATTTTTTTATCAAACTTCATGGCGTAGATACGTAATGAATGATTATACGCGAGCTAATCTAGAGAATTACAAAGTATTCAAAGGTAAACAGGTTCGACTGCTTATGTTTCGCGATGCAGCGACACGAGGGGGATCAATATTCTGGCACAAGAAACTAATCGAACGATCATTTGCATTGCAAATTCAGTGTCGATTCAGAAAACGAGTGTTCGAACATCCGTAGAGTGTTATCTCTCTCTCTCTCTCTCTCGTTAATTGTGGAAATAAGAAAGTTGAGAGAAACTAAAATTACGAGTCATCAAAATTCAATTCTAGACACTTCGTTTTTAAAAGGAGAATGAAAGGATACGGGTTGAAGGGAAAATTGATTAACAAATTGTAAATAGTATTAAAAATGCAAACATGTGAAAGCAAATGATATCTTTAGCAATTTTTCTTTGAAAGTTATAAACAAGATGCAGGTGTGTTCTCAAGTCTTTGTTAACCGGTCTATATAAGCATAATTTTTATTTTTAATTACGATAATTAGAATATAATATAATATACTATAATAATATTAATATAATATAATATAATATTATTATATAATATAATATAAGATAATATAATATAATATACTATTATAATATTAATATAATATAATATAATTATAATATACTATTATAATATTAATATAATATAATATAATATATAAATTATATATTTTTGATTACGATTAAATAAATTATCAATAAATGTTACGATACAAAACGTCGTGCTTATACTTCCATGAAAAATGGCAAACAATCGAAATGTCCGAAAGTTTCTCAAAAAAATAGGACTCGACGATAAAATAAAACTGAATAGTTACAACTTTTTAGGCGTCGGAATAATTTTTATGGACGAAATCATTCGGAGTGATGAAAATCTGGACGTTGGTATCGGCTAAATTGCGCAAAGAATCGCACGGTTTCACGGTTTCGACCGGTCGATTTCTCGCCCGCGAGTTTCAACACCGGTCCGTTGTGTCGACTCGATCGTTAGGCGATCTAAACACAGACATTAACTAGAATACGTCACTTGGGCCTCTCGGGTTTCGCGGGCTCAGGTCGAAGAAAGTGTCACCGTGTACGCTCTGACACCTTAATTGCGCAGATTACGTTCATAACTCTCCGTGCACCGTGATCTCGTCCAGTAATTACCTCGTTTCGAATCGATTAGAGTTGATCTGGAAAGCTGGATATTGTAGATATCTCGATCTTGTTCCCATTGCCGCTGATAATAACGAGAAATGTCTTTCAAATTTCCTACCTCGTTAATAAATTAATTACAACTTCTTTGAATTCAACTGATTTTTCAATTAAAATTAAAATTGATGTTAATTTAGATGTACTTAATGTCGATCGCCTTTCCTCTACTTGGTTTCATTCATTTTTCTAAACATTCATCTTGTAGTATTGAACTGGGAATATCTCTTTATGTGGGAATTTGGTAATTGAACGTAGATTTGTGCAAAATGATGATAAAATTGAGGCATTCCCTGTTCTTGGCTTGTGTTTAGAAGTTAATAGTTGGTTATTAGGTAAAGGAATTAATTCTTGCAAAAGATGTGAGGGTTGCTTGTCTATCATACTTGAACTGGTATTTACCTGGTATCTGACCCATATAATGTTGTGATCCATGATTTCCGATTGTGTGCTGCTCCTTCAGGATTGAAGAAAAATTGTCGCTATTCATATCTTCAACATAATGTAATTTGTTTCTTAAGAAATGAATAACTTATCAAAAAGTAATTTATTCCTGTTTCTACTTAAAGGAATTTTGCGCATGAAATGAAATTGAAGAAAATTTGAAACTTTACTCAAAAAGGAAGAAATTCCTCATAGAATTCAAAAAAGAGCATGAGCTTATAGGGTTCGAACAAAATGTCACAGATGAAGGATGAGAAGACGTCTACAAGAAATCATATGAATTAAAATTAAGTATTTTGTACGTATAAAATATTTGACATTCTGTTTACTCCAAAAGGAAAACATTTATCCACAATTTTAATAAAAAAATATGAACGCTAAAGAGTTCAAACAAAATATAACAGATGAGGGTAAAAATACATATCTCGTACATAAAATAAAATCGGAAAACTCTTTTAACTCTGCTCAAAAAGGAAGAAATTGATCGAAGAGTTGGAAAAGAAATATAATCAAATAATTAAAAGGTTTGAGAAATTCGCATCACAGATAAGAAAGACATCTACAAATACAGTCACACGAGCTGAAAACAAGCAGTTACTGAAGTAAAAACGAGACGTACGCGTATACGTTTTGTTCTTTGACGCGGGTAGAAGCTTCAAAACGCGATAGCGAGGACTTGGTCCGAAGCCGAGGAAAACGTCGGAAAGAAATACAATCTGGCACGAAGAATCTCGCGAGGCAGAAGCTTAATTCAACCTGCTGGTAGCTCGTTTAACATCACTTTCCCCCACCGTAATCTTCTGGACTTATTACCTTGTACCTACGCGGCATACTAGTCGAGAACAGTATACGAAGTCACGTCGAGAAAGATACTCTCTCCCCTACATCTTTCGCGAGATTTTCCCTCGGCGTCGCGTCGTCTTCGGGGCCTACCGTCTATGAAAACCAAAACCGTCTCGAAGACGGACGAACGAACGAACGAACGAACGAACGAAGAAACGACCGGAAAAGAAGGAAAAAAGCCTCGGGCGAACGATATCGAGTGAAAAGATAGTAGGGGCAACGAAGCGGCTGATGGATAAGGAGTGGGGGGACTTGCGTGCGACGGTGGGAGGGGAGAGCACGGGAAGAGGAGGAGGAGGAGAAGGAGGGGAGGGGAGCTAGGGGTTCCAGACGTATTAATTAAACGACTCATTTTCATCGCACGACAAAAACGTGAGTTTAACGCCCATCGGCGACTAATGCGTCGCCCCACTGCACCCCGTACGTTGCTCGTGGAATAAGGGTAGCGTGAATGGTGCCGAGCGGCAAGTTTCTACCTCGAAGAACGGTCCAATCGTGTCGAGGCTGGTATACGCCTAGCGTGGCTGTTCGTACCTCGAAGTACCGCCCAGTTTTGGTTGATTCTTTACCCCCACCGTGTGTGAAAATGCAGGATGGTAGGGATGGAAAACGGCTGTGGCATAGTCCCCCCACCACCATCCAAGAGCGCCTCGTTTAGCCTGTAATTTGCTCAAACACTAGCAAGCTCTCGTGCCAGAAACATCCGTCAGAGAGCCCCGTGGTCCGCTGGAGCTCTCGAGATACGCTCGTTCGGGCCACAGTTGTGCTCTTTTTTTTTTTCCCGGGACAACCCAGTGCCCAGTGTTCCCTTTCGCCCGGAGTAAACTTCGTGTGCCCGCGGGCTGAAGAGGCATCGATGGAGAGGCGCACCGTCTCCCGGGGATGTCAGCAGTGTGTGCCGGCCGTGTGAGCTAAACGCTTCGGTGTGTCGGAGCATCAGCTTTGCATCACAGTGGGTGACGTTTCATTGTTTCGCGAGATTCCATCGTGGACTGGATCTCCTGGATGATTCCTCGGTGACGCTGCACGAGTCTGTTGTGAACCAGTGATGACTCTGACGATGGGATCTGTAACAGTGTCGCGAATTTCGAAAACGATCCAAGTGGCACATTAACTGCAAGGATACTCTGGTACCGTCGTTGCACGAGGTACGAGGCACAAATTAACGAATCGGACAATGTACCCTTTAATAAAAAGAACCGGACGATAATTGATCATCGAGGAACACTCGAGAGACGAGAGAGAAAGAGAGAGAAAGAGACAGAGCATATAACTTACGTCGGAATAGAGTCCCAAGATAGGGGAGATAGTTACCAGTGCGTCGAAAAGTGTGTCCAAAGTGTTCTCGAGGAGTAACCCGTGGTTGGACGTTTGGCAGGCAAGCGTTCTCGGTCTGGTGAGGCAGCCGGGACCGGGGCGGGTGCAGGCATGCGGCGGACCTGATTCGATCGAGCTACCTGGAGTCCTCGCGTGTTGCAGAAGTGGCCAGTCCATCAGCCAGGCGTACGATAATCGTACGATGATGCCGCTCGCGCCGACGCCAATCGTACCGGTGCCCTCGAAGCCGAAGATCGGCTTCAGCATCGACTCGATCGTCGGCGGTGGTGGACAGGGCCGCGAGGATCGTCTGGACCGACTGGAACGAGTCGAGATCGAGAGAGACGATGGTAGCCCGATGGACGTTGTCGAAGGTTCGTCCTCGCCTCGAAATCGTCGCGTCACCACGAGATCCCCCGGCGCTCACTCCGAAGGTTCCGATCGGCCCGTGTCACGTAGTTCCTCCGTCGAGTCGTATCCCAATTCTCGGAGGACGCCGTCGCATCCTGGCAGCCACCATCATCATCATCATCACGGGAACCACCACGGCCATCATCATCATTTGTCCGCCGCGACTCACTTAGATTTTGGTAGAACAACGGTCCACAATCATAGCGGGGGTTCGACGCCCAACAACAGCCCCAGCCCACCTCACAGGATATCTCACGGTGACTCTCCCGTCGGCACGCACCCTCAGCCACCACCAGGAGTCGTCAGACCGAGTCCCAATTACCTCACGGCACCGGCTGGCACGGCAACCGCGGCAGCGGTTGCTGCTGAGCAATTGAAATCTCTGTACGGGCTGCCAGGACACGGCCCAACGGGGCCGCAAACCGGGCAGAACGAGTACCACACGCAACAGCAGTTGGCGTTGGCTGCGAATTTGGCCGCTGCGCAGCATTTTCAAGCGGCGAATCTCGCGGTTGCCCTTCAGGCGCATCATGGCGCGTCGCCCCATGGACCACCGCACGGCCCTTATCCCCATGGTGGCGCGCCCGGTGGACCTCATCCACCGCCGCATCCTCATCAACCACCCAGGGACAGCTATCCGCTCTATCCTTGGCTGTTATCCAGGCACGGAAGGATCTTCCCTCACAGATTTCCTGGAGGTACGTCTCGTACTTGTCCTTGCACCTTTTTCTTTTCTTTAGCCTTTAGTTTCGAGCTTCGCCTCGAGACAGCCGAGTTTCGTTTTGATAGGTTAGACTCGATGGGTTGTTTTAATTTCAATTGTAGAGATTTGTGGCGTTTAGGATTCTTTTTCTTCTCTCTCTTTTGAAAATGCAGGAAGGATGGAGCTGGAGGAAACATAGAGAGCACTCGATGAATTGAAATCTGCTCCATTTCCGAGACGATGGTAGTCGAGACGCGGTTTCCGGTTTCAGTTTTTGGGTCCGCGCGAAAGAGTTCACGTTTTTTTTTGCATTTGCGTCCTTGTGTACATATGTATCGCTTCTTATCGTTTCATAGCGACGTGTAAAACGAAATCAATGTTGTTTCTTATCGCGTGAATAAACTTCCAAACTGGTAAATTTATCGAAATCTCATAATTTCCTAGTAATTATCAGCCGTCGTAGTAAAGTTATCTCGAAGTTATCGAAATTTGTCACACGAAGTGATATACTTCTATTTCTGCACGAGTCGTTAGTCTCACGCCAGGGAATTGACGCGACAGAGAGTGGCGAACGAAAATGATCAACGATCGGCAATTGGTGTACAAAGTTATTTAACTTGATACGGGGAATATGGAGATGTAGAACCGATAGATCTAAAACGTTCTTTCCCCCGCCCTTTGAGAATATAAATTTTCAACGTTGGGCTGCCTTTGCATTCGAGCCAATCCGAGTTTAATTCATTTCTTAATTACAAGATAGCAGAGATTAGATGAATACGATTTGCATGAAATATTTCAACGTTTTTACTCCAAACATGGCGTGAGAAGCAAATGAAAGAAAGAAAAAAGAAAGTCAAACAGTCAATACCGATGGTGCACACGTATATTAACGAAAATGATTATAGTCTCGGAATCTTAACTTCCTCTTCGTTTGAATTTTCATTAAAATACCACGCAACGATACGATCGATTCACCGGTCAAGATACTATCTTTATATTCGTAGAACTTGCGTACAGTTCAACGAGTTTCTTATCGGATTTTTATCAAGCAGCTGTAATACACTGTTTCTCTCTGGTCCAACAGATAGAAAGTCGTTCTTCGTCAAAGCGTTATTCAACGGTTCATTAATCTCCGACTTTTCCAACTTCGCGAGACCAACGGTAGCTCCTTTATAACGACGTTTGACGAATTGGAAGCAATTTCTTGTCAATGTGTTTTTACCTGTTTATTCAATAGATCGCATTAATTCGGTTTAACTCCGCAGTAACGATGCTATCACGCTTTTAGTAATGCCTATAATACGTACAATATGTGCACGTATGTACGAACCTATCGATTCATCGAAATCTCGACAGTATAGCTAGACAGAAGGGCGATTTTATTTCGCTGTAAGTTCCATTAATAAACTTCAATGTCCATTAATAAACTTCCTGCTCGTTAGTCTCGAAGATAAAAAAAAAAAAGAAAAGAAAAAGAAAAAGGGAGAGAAAGAGGAGTTTATCTACGCCATTAAATTGTTCTGATTTATGTTTACTTTACAAGACACACGCGAAAAATTCTCCGTGAAATATCTCTTGGATGGATTAACAAGTGAAGTTTGTAATAGGGTCTTGATTCTCTAGTACGCGGCTCTGGATGTGTTTATGTTCTGGGAATAGAAATTTACGTGTTCTACTTACTATAAATTTATGTAAAACGTAACACGTTTGAAAGGAGAATCGTTCTGCTTGACTAAACGTTTTCATTGTAGTGGAAGTTGATAATTGTGTGGTAATCGTCTTGTAATTATCAAATGTAGTGCGTCAAGTGTCTCTAGTTTTGAATTACTGTTTTTGTCCAATCGTAGAAGTCGATAAGTATGTAGTTGCGTTGGATTTGCTTTCATTGGTATCATGTTAAATACTGTAACATTAAATGAAATGTTATATTACAATATTCTGTTATTACAACATATAGTTTGCCAAATGTTTTATTTTTCCAAATGTAACGGTAATATGTTGTCGGTAATATTTCAGAATTAATATATCCCACTATTCAACAATCACTCAGTGTCTTTCATTCTTTCAAAGAAAAGAAAAGAAAATCTTACGTTAAGTCGGTCTCTAATACATATCGAAATATTCCACGTACATATCATTATAATTTAAATAATAATAATTAAAACAAATAGATATCTATACAGTCACGTTTTTGTTTAAACAGAAGTATTAATTTCGATAACACGTAGATGCTCTAATACGTACCAAAATATTCTACGTACAAATCGTTACAATTTAAATAATAATAATTAAAACAAATAGATATCTACAGTCACGTTTTTGTCTAAACAAAAGTCAGTATTAATTTCGATAGCACGTACATGCTCTAATACGTACCAAAATATTCTACGTACAAATCGTTACAATTTAAATAATAATAATTAAAACAAATAGATTAGTACGATCACGCCTTTGAACGGAAATCAATACTGATCTCGGTTAAAAAAAATTTTCCTGCGGTTCTTTTTAGCAATTGTAAAAGAAACGAGAAAATCTAAAGGAAATTCAGTCAGAATTGATGGATCTAATTTAGTCCTTGGCGATGTTCCTTATTTACCCCAGTAGGTACAATTTTCTTAATTTAGATGTGAACGATATCAGCGATAAACGAGAGCAAGACGATTAAAGCATGGTCGACTGTGCAGATAACCGAGATTCGCGAGTTAACTCGTCATTTTCCAAGTTAATAAACCTTGCCGGCACGATATTCCCACTTCTTTCTTTCTTTCGTTTTTGTTCTTCTCTGTTTTTACTCTTATAGCGACCGGTTCCATCGATTCGGTCGCGATGCGAACCGAGTATATCGAAGTCGACCGTGATTGTACGAGGAACGTGATAATTACCGAGTTGGTAAATAAGAACGAAAGCGCCTCTCCCGTTCGTGAAAGAAATGGTTACGCAAAGATTTCGTAACGGGGGATTTTGTAACGTTGTTGTGGATGTGTATTCTCTTATCTCGAGTTATACGAGCGAGGGGGGCGAAACAACGTGGGTTCACGTAATTGATACATCGGAGAGTGATGACCAGACCCCGGGACCAATTGTGAATTATTCCACGATACCATATCGCAACCCTGAGATAACATTTCCATCCAGTCATTTACGATAACGGATAGTGAATGGAGGAGAAGAGAAGCGACAGCGATATTTTTATCAGGGATGATTGCAGTTGACGTCTTTGTGGCGATTGAACTTCATCGGAACACTTTTCAGGCGATGGTTTTATTTTGGAGAATCATTTTTCGCTGGTTTTGCTGTTAAGATGAGAAGTGGAAGATTGAGAGAATGATTGAACCAGGGATCGGAGAAGTTGAGGGACTTTTCTGCTTGAAACGTGGGATCGTGGAAAATTTTGTTTAGAAGAATGTTCTTGCATTGCACGTCATAAACAAATATCGTTAAAAGATAAAAGCTTCAGGCGGAGTAGAGCTTACGAAATATAAAAATAAAAGTTTTCGCTGCCATTGAAACAGATAATTCATCGATATTGAAAAATATTTTCAATATTTGTAGCTTATGTTGACACTGAATGCTATTCAGTGAGCAGTACTCGAATATAAAAGTGGATGATTTGATTAAATGGTTTAAAATAACTTTCATGGAACTTTTATTAGACAGATTCTAAAATATCTGTTCCACGACAACACTATTCGAAAATGTTCCACTTCTTACTGTAAAAATTCCTGTAAAACAAAAACAGATATCTTTTTATAGGAAATATACAAATTCGAACAGAATTTTTTTTTAAACACGAAAAGAATTTTCTAATTTTGATCTCTGGACTGAATCGTTATTGGTTTTTGAAATATATAATAATTATTCTGTTGAGAAAGAAAAATAGATAGTTTTGTTGCAGGATGAAGTATAACTAATATCAAAATATAGTTGCCAATTATACGATTTTTAATGCATATTTTTGAATATTTTTATTAAAAAGGAAATAAAATTTTGTCGAATTTTACTTCACTTCCAAAGATGAAAATGGAGGGTAGTTATTAATATTAAACCAACTATTAATGGAAAAAAGCGGGTACTTTAATGTTCTTAATGTGAGAAATTAGTGTTCTCAATGTATCTAGAGAATCACTAAGTTTATTACTAATAGGATAATTAATATTTTTAATTTGAAGATGAAAAGTAAAACAAATAAAATATATCCGATAAATAAAATCTGAGAAAAACACTGAAATATCGAATAATAATGCACAACTGAATCCTATAACAGAGGAAATTTTAATTGGGGGGGGGGGGGGAAAGAAGATTCCTCGGAAGTGTAAAAATACATTTTCCCTGATAAAGTTGATGATGTACGTACATATATACGTCTACGTATTCTCATTATCGTGGCACAACACGCATACTTCCACTCCGACAGATGTTACGCGACAGTTCGCCCATTTATCTCCAACCGATTACCGACTACCTGTAACTGGAATCTAATTAGCCGAGGTAACGCAAAACAGGTAGCTGTGCATTGTACGATGAACGATACTGTTTGACAACTTCGTCAATTCTTTCTGTCTTTCGCACATTCACGCTGATTTTCAGGTGAAAGATACCGGATTTTATGGTTCGTCGCGGCTCGTTCGTCTCGGTTTATTTTATCCGCGATTAATGATCGTAAGCAACTCGTACAACACGCAACGTACATACGCGTTAGAAATGAGAATTTCATCGCAGAGAATATTTATATGTTTTTACCGATTGAAGAGTTAATAGTTACAAGTGGTGCGACTTAATTCTTTACTGTGTCTCTTTTAGTTTAACACCACATTTCGAAAGTTTTCATTCTGTTTCGCGCAGGAGTGGTGCAAGATGCAATTTTAAAATGGAATTTTCATTTCGAGTGAAGAGGAAACGAACAGCAATAATCTACGTATTGTGAATGTCAGTGTATTAACTAGTTCGATTTATCACGGTGACGAATTAAAGGGGACGAGGGGATGATCGTTTGAA